GAGAGCAAGTGAGAGAGAGAGTGTGTGTGTGTGTGTGTGTGAGAGAGAGAGAGAGAGAGAGAGAGAGAATTAGTTCCCATCTACTGGTTCATGCATCAAATCCATGTAATGGCCAGGGCTGGGCCAAGGTGGAATTCAGGAGCTCGGAACTTAATCCAGGTCTCCATGTGGGTGGCAGGAACCCAACTATTTGAGCCATCATTGCTGCCTCAGTCTACATTAGCGAGAATGTCAGAATCAGGAGCTGGGGCTGGGAATCAACCCCAGGCAGAAGTCGTAATTGGCATCTTAACTGCTAGACCAAATGCTTGCTCCAGGCGATAGGTTTTTAATGTAATTGCTTTTTCATGACATTCTTATAAAAAACAAGAATCACGTTAATATACTGTACATTTCTCTATTAGAAAACCAGGAGATGGGATTTTGCATATTTTCAAGACAGGAAAATGTTAAATGTTTGAGGAGATACATATATTTACCCTAACTGGGCATTACACAATGTACACATGTTGAAACATCATATAGTATCCCACAAATATGTACAATTTTTTTTGTTCTAGTACCATTGGTTGAACTCTGTAATTAACACACAATTATTCTTAGGTATTTAAATTTTAACTGAAAAGTGATCCCTGTTAGGAATTTGGAAAACATTATGCTGAGTGAAATAAGCCAGTCCCAAAGGGACAAATACCACTTGTTCTCCTTGATAGGTGACAACTAACTGAGCACCAAAAAGGAAACCTGTTAAAGTGAAATGAACACTATGAGAAACGGTGACTTGATCAGCCCTCACCCTGACTGTTGATGAGCAACTTGATATGTTATCCCTTTTAGTATTTTTTTTGTTTGTTCTACTTAATACTTTTGGTTGAATACTGTAATCAATACACAATTCTTCTTAAGTGCTGAAACTTAACTGAAAAGTGATCACTGTTAAATATAAGAGTGGGAATAAGAGAGGAAAGAGATGTGCAATTCGGGACATGCTCAAGCTGACTTACCTCAAACGGTAGAGTTAGAAACATACCAGGGGATTCCAATTCAATCCCATCAAGGTGGCATGTACGAATGCCATCTCACTAGTCCCAGTGATCAATTTCTGTTCACAATTGATCATAATGATATGACTAAGAACCAAAGGGATCACATAAACAAGAATAGTGTCTGCAAATACTAGCTGATAGAATAAAAAAGGGAGAGAACGATCCAACATGGGAAGTGAGATACACAGCAGACCCATAGAATGGCAGATGTCCTAAACAGCACTCTGGCCTCAGAATCAGCCCTTAAGGCATGCGGATCCAGCTGAAAAGCCCATGAGAGTATTTCAGGCATGGAAAGCCAAGACACTCTGGGGAAAAAACAAAAGAGGACCTAAATGAAAGATCTCCGCGAGTGAGATCCCAGTGGAAAGAATGGGTCATCAAAGAAGGAGGTACCTTTCTCTGAAGGGAGGAGAGAACTTCCACTTTGACCATGGCCTTGTCTAAATATGATCAGAGTCAGTGAACTCAGGGGGCTTCCATAGCCTTGGCAGCTCATGACAAGAGCCTAGGGTGATTACTGATGCCATAAACAAGAGTGTCAATTTGTTAAGTCAACAACAGGAGTCACTGTGCACTTACTCCTCATGTAGGATCTTTGTCCTTAGTGTGCTGTACATTGAGATTTAATGCTATAACTAGTACTCAAACAGTATTTTTCACTTTATGTTTCTGTGTGGGAGCAAACTGTTGACATCTTAATGTATGCTAAACTGATCTTCTGTATATAAAGAGAATCGAAAATGAATCTTGATGTGAATGGAAGGGGAGAGGGAGTGGGAAAGGGGAGGGTTGCGGGTGGGAGGGGCGTTATGGGGGGGAAGCCATTGTAATCCATAAGCTGTACTTTGGAAATTTATATTCATTAAATAAAAGTTAAAAAAAATGAAAAAGAATTATGGGCTGGTAATATGTGTATTTTTTTCTGAAGCCTTATAAATCAAACAACTAGCTCATTTTAGGCACACAGTAGATGTACAATAAAATTCTGGATTGGTTTCAGTTTAGATGTTTACCCAGAAAAGCACTGATTCTTTTTATTATTTATGAATATTAAATATATATACATACCAAAATATAAAACAAGAAGAAAATTCTACTATTCTCCTAGTGAAAGGCAGTGGACAAACTCATGCTTATTTATGATACTGAAGTATGTTTAATTCTAAAAATAATCCTGTCGCTAACTTCAGTCACCGTCAATATAGTTCCTTTCATAAACCTTACACCTCTACTCCTTTGAGTCAAGGAAATTTTAAAAAGAAAGTAAATATTTTGTTAAGTTTTTTGAAACAAGAAAATTTGCTAGCTTCAACTTTATCATTATTTATACACTTGCAGGGAAAACAAAGAGTTTCAAATAAGGTAAGCAAGAACAGACAAAGAAACAAGTACTAAGAAAATCAACAAGCTAGCCAGGAATCCCATATATCACTCACAGAAAGGAAAATTCAGGTCTATTTGCACTACTTACATTAAAAGTGGTGTGAATTCAATTAAACTGCAAATATTGACATCTGTTATAATCCCAAGTTTTGATAAAATTTTGAAAATGAAATTTATTATTACCCGATGAATCAAATTTATCACTGTGAAATTATCTAACAAATATAGTAACACTGGAAGACCAGAATGTTTTTCTAAACTAGCTTGAAAACAGAACTGCTGTATCACATGCAGTCTATGTAGAAAAAGAAGCCAATTTGGTACCTTTCTTGTTGTTAAAATTCAAATATGTTATCAGAGTATTGGCTCATAGTCAATCTTTATTATGTCATAGTAGTAGTATCTTTTCTTCCATTCCATCCTATAATAACTTAAGGCTCAGAATAAAATTATAAGGCTGCCATACTTTACAGAAAGGGAGACATCAAAGTTGGTGAGAAAGATAATCTTTTATGTTCTTTTGTTGTATTATAATATATTGAAGTAGCATTGCCACTGGAAACAAATGAATACAACAAGTAGAAAATTTTGGAGATAAAGGGTAAAAAATATATTTTGCTTTATGGTAAGAAGAATGTAACAAAAGTAGTCCCTCAAGTGGAAGGTGTGCTCCCCACATAACTGCTGATTTTTTGTAGTCCTATCTGTATTTAAAGACTAAAAATACTATGGAACAAAGCCATAGTAGTTTCTATGTTATACAACAGATTACTAACAACAGAGGAAATTGAGTAAATACAAGTATCATTTTTCTTAAAAGCTTTGAGATATAATTGATACATAAAAATGTACATATTTGGGGCCAGCGCTGTGGTGTAGTGGGTAAAGCCACCACCTGCAGTGCTGGCATTCCATATGGGTGCAAGTTCAAGTCCTGGATGCTCCACTTCCAATCCATGGCCTGGGAAAGCAGGGGAAGATGGCCCTAGTCCTTGGGCCCCTGTACCCGCGTGGGAGACCTGAAAGAAGATTTTTTTTTACCATGCAAATTGTTGAACTCTTTACTTAGTATAAAGTATAGTGTAAAGTTAATAAAAATGGATCAGCACAGCCCCAGCCATTGCGGCCAATTGGAGAGTGAACCAGGGGATGGAAGACCTCTCTCTCTCCCTCTGCCTCTCCTCTCTCTGTACAACTCTGACTTTCAAATAAATAAATAAATCTTTTAAAAATGTACATATTCAATATATATATTTTGATGACTTGATACATGCACACACCTATGTTAGTATACCCACAATCAAGATACTAAACATATTCATTACCTCCAAAATTTTCCTGTGTGCTTTTGTGTGTGTTTTGTATTAAGAGCACTTAAATTTAAACCCAGCATTTAAAAAATTTATTTATTTTCCCCCCAAAGAAACCTTTTATTTAAAACAGATTTCATGCGTTTCCTAAGTACAACATTAGGAATATAGTGATTCTTCCCCCTTACTCACGCTCCAGTCTTTCACCCCTCCTCCTCCCCCCTTTCCCATTCCCAGTCCCATTCTCCATTAAGATCCATTTTCGATTAACTTTATACATGGAAGAACAACCCTATACTAAGTAGAGTTCAACAATTTGAATGGCAAAAAAAAAAAAAAGGTTTCTCAACAGTTGAGACAAGGGCTGTTCAAAGTCATTGCTTCTTAAAGTTAATTTCACTTTTTTTTTTTTTTGGAAACTTAATTAACTTTAATGAAGCACCCAAGAATTAGACATGTCTAATTTTTTAGAAGGTTTTTCTTTAATGAATACAAATTTCACATATACAGCTCTTAGGAATATAGTGGTTCTTCCCTTCATTCCTGCCCTCCCAGTCCCACACCCATCCCACCTCCTACTCCCTCTCCCATTCCATTTTTCATTAACATGGCCATTTGGGAAGTGAACCAGTAGATGAAAGATCTCTTTCCCTCCTTCCCTGTCTCTCCCTCTCTTGTTTTGCTTTTCAAATAAATAAAATAAATCTCAAAAAATAAATGGTATTGAAAAAGGAGTATACAATAAGATCTTCAAGTTTACATGTCAGTTAGCTCTCTCATGCAGTGAAATGGTAAGCTAATAGGGCAACCTGCCTGGGCAGGCCAAAAAGGTACCTCCGTGAGATTTAACATGAGTACATGTAAGGTGGTGGACTCAGAAAAATAACCTGAGCTAAGTTTTTAAGGTAATGGATTCTATAATGTCCTTTACCGCTTAAGGAAGCAATATTAGCAAACTGCTGCAAACATCATCCCAGTGTAGTCAAAAATGATTCAGAATGTTAAACATTAGGGAAAAAATATCACTTGTCAAATCACGCTATGCCATACTAGCATAGCATGTGTAGCTATAGTAGCCACACTACACAAAATTACTTAAAATATATTCAAAATTAAGTGTGCAGAAAAGAATAATGTGTATTTGCTCAATGAATATTAGGAATCTAGAAGAATAAACACAAGATAGGGCTTAGAGAGCAGGACGTCCAGCTTCCCAGTTCGGGCCTTTGGAGGGGAGTGCGAGCCACTAACGAGCGAGTTAAAAATGGGTGATGTTGAGAAAGGCAAGAAGATTTTTGTTCGGAAATGTGCCCAGTGCCACACTGTGGAAAAGGGAGGCAAGCAAAAGACTGGACCAAATCTCCATGGTCTGTTTGGGCGGAAGACAGGTCAGGCCATTGGATTCTCCTACACAGACACCTACAAGAACAAAGGCAACACCTGGGGAGAGGACATTCTGATGGAGTATTTGGAGAAGCCCAAGAAATACATCCCTGGAACCAAAATGACCTTAGCTGGCATTAAGAAGAAGAATGAAAGGGCAGACTTGATAGCTTATCTCAAAAAAGCTACGAATGAGTAAGAGTTGGCCACCTCAGAATAAGCCCTTAAGGCATTCGAATCTGGCTGAAGAGCCCATGAGAGTATTTTAGGCATGGAAAGCCAAGACACTCTGGAAAAAACAAAAGAGGACCTAAATGAAAGATCTCCGCGAGTGAGATCCCAGTGGAAAGAACGGGTCATCAAAGAAGGAGGTACCTTTCTCTGAAGGGAGGAGAGAACTTCCACTTTGACTATGACCCTGTCAGAATAAGATTGAAGTCGGTGAACTCAAAAGGCTTCCATAGCCTTGGCAACTCAGGACTAGAGCCTAGGGAGATTACTGACGCCATAAACAAGAGAGTCAAATTGTTAAGTCAACAACAGGAGTCACTGTGTACTTACTTCTCATGTGGGATCTGTCCTTAATGTGTTGTCCAATGTGAAGTAATGCTATAACTAGTACTGAAACAGTATTTTACACTTTGTGTTTCTGTGTGGGTAAAACTGATGAAATCTTTACTTAATATATACTAAATGGATCTTTTGTATATAAAGATAATTGAACATGAATCTTGATGTGAATGGAATGGGAGAGGGAGCGGGAGATGGGAGGGGTGCGAGTGGGAGGGAAATTATTGGGGGGGAAGCCATTGTAATCCATAAACTGTACTTTGGAAATTTATATTTACTAAATAAAAGTTAAAAAAATAAAAAAAAAATAGTTGGCCACTGCCTTATTTATTACAAAACAGCAATGTCCCGTGACTTTTTTATGTGCACCATTAATTTAATTCTCATACACCAGAATTCAGATCATGAATGGCTGACAGGCTGACAGAATATTTTTGTCTGACAGTCTAATATTGCCTTGTATGGTTAAATAGGATTGGGTTTATTGAAATTTTGGTAGTAATTCCAGTTCAGTAAATGCCTTCACTGTTTTCCCATTCTAAGGATATGGTTGGACTTAACTAACAAAAATTGTGAATGTCATCCCAAAACCTGCTGGGAGGTTGGATTTAGATTTCAATACTGGGGAAACCACTGTCTCAGAATGGAGCAAGATTCACCTGCTAAAGACAAGAGGTGAAGACAGCTGAGAACATCTTCGTATTTCTGGTCTTAGCTGTGGCAATCTCATTAGAATTTCCTGTATCTAAACTTCTGCCTTTTATTTACTGAAAGGCATTTTAGTGTGGTTTATGTATATCAAATAAAGAATATTTAACACTTAAAAAATTAAAAAAATATGATAGTAATTTTAAAACAAATAAGAACATTATATGTTACTTGTATAAACTTGGGAGATTTTCCAATAATTAAGTCTTTAAATGACTTCATTGAAACATAATTCACATCCCATTCAATTAATCCATTTAAAGTCAATAATTTGATATTTTTAGTATAGTCATAGATTGAATGACCATAATTTTGTCCTTTTCTGGGCATGTCAAACAAGTGAAATCATTTGACTTGTGGTCTCTTGTGTCAGGCTTCTTTAACTTGGCATAACATTTTTTAAAATATTTTATTTATTTATTTGAGAAGTAGAGCCACAGAGAGGAAGAGATAGAAAGGTCTTCCGTCTGCTGGTTTACTCTCCAAATGGCCACAATGGTTGGGGCTGGGACGGTCCAAAGCCAGGAGCCAGGAGCTTCTTCGGGCCTCTCACATGGGTGCGTGGGCCCAAGCACTTGGGCCATCTTCCACTGTTTTCCCAGGCCATAAGCAGAGAGCTGGATCATAAGAGGAGCAGCAAGGACTTGAACTGGCACCCATATGGGATGCTGGTGCTGCAGGTGGAGGCCTAGCCCACTAAGCCACAGTGCCGGCCCCCAACTTAGCATAACATTATGAAGTTTCATTCATGCCATACCATATATTAGGTCTTTATTCTTTTAAATGGCCAAATAATGTTCCATTGTACTGATTACAGCACAATTTGTTGACCAATTCATCCACTGCTGAACATTTGTTTTTTCCTCATTATGAATATTA